AAAAGGAGAAGGTTGAGAAGAAATGGTATGTTGTAAAAAAATGTTTCAACATTCGCATACAACTGAGAGTTAGACTTCGTACTTAGGGAAGTCCAAAAGTAGTGGCGGAGGCCCTTTTTTTCTTCTACATAGGTGTTGAAAAAAAGTTTTTTTAGCAATCGATAGAGCGAGAAAAACTGCATCGATCTATGCTAATTGATCTATATCAAGCTAAGGTTATATCGATAAAACTTTAAAAAAACTCTTTTTTCTTGCAATCTGGCTGGCAGCAGCAATGCAAAAAAAGCAAATGGATATGGCTTTTTCTTCGCATTTCCTTTATTTTCTCTTCTAATATATGACTGTCTATATGCATATGCATAGTAACGTGTCCAGTAGACTGATCTAGTCTGCACGTGCTTTTTGTGTACTCAAAAAGTGAGTACACTACTAAAATCGGTCAGTGTGTCCGTCCGTCCGGCCGTCCGTCCGTTTATCCGATAACTCTCGAAAACTGCATGCATAGGTATCCAAAATTTTTTCCACAATATTGTCTCATTGATATCTCGGTCGAGTTCGAAGATAAGCAGGATCGGTTGAGAAATGGCCAAGTTATTTTAAAAATTCTGAAAAACCATCAGGCCACCCCTGAGGAGGGGTACAGGGATTTTTGAAAAAAATATTTTTTTAAAAACCATTCAAGATATATATGAATCGATGCAACTTTTAACGCTGATTCTGAATCTCATATTTCCTCAGATGAAAAGAGGGCCACATGAGAAAAAATTGTTTGTGTCTGTCTGTTTGTCTCAGGGTCAGAGGTCAAAGGTTAAAAAAACATTTTTCTTGGAAATGCTTAAAACTTCATAAAACATCGATTGGAAAGGGTTTTGAAGCTCGATGTTGATTTGGTGCGGGGGGGCTCAAAAAGTGAATACACTACTAAAATCGGTCAGTGTGTCCGGCCGGTCGTCCGTCCGTCCGTTTATCCGATAACTCTCGAATAGTTTGAGCGAATAACAAAACATTTTCTTCCGCAGGTTCATCTCATCAATATCTCGGTCGAGTTCGAAGATGGGAAGGATCGGTTGCGAAATGGCGGAGATATCGTAAAACTTCTAAGAAATGGCCCCATGAGTCCTAAGGGGAGTACAGGGATTTTCAAAAAAAAATTTTCTGGCACAAACGTACCTGTAATCAGTTTTCTGACAGCAACCAAGTCGTGAAATAATGCTCCATAAAGGAACCTTTGGGTCTTCATACCCTGCACTATGGGAGCGCCCTTGGGTCCCCATGTCTTATACTATGAGGGTACCCTTGGATCCTCAATTCCTGCACTATGGGGGTACCGAAAAGTCTTCAAGTCCTATATAGTGAAGGTACCTATAGGTCCTTATATGATATATTATATGTGTGGTCTTAGGTCCTCAAGCTTTGCATATTCGAGTTTATTCTTAACTAGACAAAAGTAATTAATAAAACGAGATTCCTGTTAAAGATAGCTAGCCGAAGAAAGAAAAATTTGGATACACAGATCATATTCAGTTTATTCGTATTATATAGAAGGAAAAAAATAATAAGTTACTTATATGTTTGATGTGTTAGCAATTGCTATTTGTAGATGATACTTCGAATATTACAAAAAAATTAATGCGGAAACTTCGGACTTTATCCGAACGTTATGTGTACTCTAAAAAGTGTATGACACTAAAGCTACAGAGCACTCTAACTGTCATATCAAGATTATACAATGAGCCACAACAGACAAGTCCTGGCAGGCGATCCTTAAGAACCCAANGAAGGAAAAAAATAATAAGTTACTTATATGTTTGATGTGTTAGCAATTGCTATTTGTAGATGATACTTCGAATATTACAAAAAAATTAATGCGGAAACTTCGGATTTTATCCGAACGTTATGTGTACTCTAAAAAGTGTATGACACTAAAGCTACAGAGCACTCTAACTGTCATATCAAGATTATACAATGAGCCACAACAGACAAGTCCTGGCAGGCGATCCTTAAGAACCCAACGGGATTATTCCCACAACGCTACTCTCGACAAAATTTCACCACCGCTGGAGAGATTTCTTGCAAAACTCGAGAATGCTCTCACAATTTAACAGTCGAGAACCCAAACTATCTCCACGTTAGAGTCTACAAGAAGCCCTGGTTATCTTCATAGTATATCATAGAAAGCTCACAGAGAACCCTCGTATTAAACGCCTTCACAGTCTAACGGCAACCTTATACTATGGGACTTCAGAACCTAAAGGTGCCCCACTATATAGGACTCGAGGACCCAAGGGTACCCCCGTAGTATAGGACTTGAGGACCCATGGGTACCCCCACTATATAGCACTTGAGGACCCAAGGGTACCCCCGTAATATAGGACTTGAGGACCCATGGGTACCCCCACTATATAGCACTTGAGGATCCAAGGGTACCCCCCATAGTATAGGACTTGAGGACCCATGGGTACCCCCACTATATAGCACTTGAGGACCCAAGGGTACCCCCGTAGTATAAGACTTGAAGGCCTAAGGGTACGCCTATAGTATGGGGTATGAAGACGTAAAGCTTTCTTTTTGGAGAATTATTCTACGACTTGTTTGCTGTCAGAAAACTGGTTATAGCTATATATGGGGCGAAAAATGTTTTCGTTTGAAAATCCCCGTACTCCCCCTCAGGACCCATGGGGTCATATTTCAGAATTTTTACGATATCTCCGCCATTTCTTGACCGATCCTTCTCATCTTCGAACTCGACCGAGATATTGATGAGACGAACCTGCGGAAGAAAATTTCTAGTCAACTGCTCACATTTTTCGAGAGTTATCGGATAAACGGACGGCCGGACGGACGGCCGGACGGACACACTGACCGATTTTAGTAGTGTACTCACTTTTTGAGTACACAAACAACTTGATTATACATTATCTTCATATTTTCAGTCGAGGGTAATGCGAGTCACTCTCGACGAGCGTTATTTATTTCTTTTAGGTGGCATTTCAAAATGATTTCAATTTAAATTATGTTCTATTTTCAAGTGCAAATTAGTCACTATAGCACTATAGCTGTAAAATGGATAGTGGACAAAATGAAAATTGAAAAATGAGTTTTATTTTGTTTTAGATGAAACGAAATAAGTGTACTACTTAAGAAATTATTTGCACTTAAAAATATTGTAAATTGTGTAATTAATTACTTGCTTTATTCATAATCGAATATGATTTCTATTACGTGTTAATCGTTTTTTATTAAAGACCATTTATGGTAGAAAAAAATCACATCTACAATGAATATTTATATGTGATTTTTAATATTCCAAGAATATTATCAAACCTCCAAACATATTATCAATGGAAGATATGACAAGTAACGCTCATCCTTTGGATTCGCTTACCCTTTTCTGAAAGATTTTTCCTAATGCTGAACACATTCAGAGACTTTGAAGGAGAAAAAACACACTGCAATTGCTACTAGTGTTCAACTGAATCATGGCACTATGTCACACACTAGAACTAGAATGAATAGGATACAGAGGTCCTTTTAGGAATCAGACCGATTAGTCATTTGTCAGTGGACGATTCTCCAGCACTAACTATNAAACAGTATTATAAATAAATGCGGAAACTTCGGATTTTATCCGAACGTTATGTGTACTCTAAAAAGTGTATGACACTAAAGCTACAGAGCACTCTAACTGTCATATCAAGATTATACAATGAGCCACAACAGACAAGTTCTGGCAGGCGATCCTTAAGAACCCAACGGGATTATTCCCACAACGCTACTCTCGACAAAATTTCACCACTGCTAGAGAGATTTCTTGCAAAACTCGAGAATGCTCTCACAATTTAACAGTCGAGAACCCAAACTATCTCCACGTTAGAGTCTATAAGAAGCCCTGGTTATCTTCATAGTATATCATATAAAGCTCACAGAGAACCCTCGTATTAAACGCCTTCACAGTCTAACGGTAACCTTATACTATGGGACTTCAGAACCTAAAGGTGCCCCACTAATAGGACTTGAGGGCCTATGAGTACCCCATAGTATAGTATATGAGGACCTAAAGGTACTCCCATAGTATAGCACTTGAGGACCCGAGGCTACCTCCATAGTACAGGACTTGAAGACCTAAGGGCACCTCTATAGTATAGGACTCGAGCACCCATGGGTACCCCCATAGTATAGGACTTGAGGACCCATGGGTACCCCCATAGTATAGGACTTGAGGACCCAAGGGTACCCCCATAGTATAGGACTTGAGGACCCATGGGTACCCCCACTAAATAGCACTTGAGGACCCAAGGGAACCCCCATAGTATAAGACTTGAAGACCTAAGGGTACCCCTATAGTATGGAGTATGAAGACGTAAAGCTTTCTTTTTGGAGAATTTTTCTACGAGTTGTTTGCTGTCAGAAAACTGGTTATAGCTATATATGGGGCGAAAAATGTTTTTTTTGAAAATCCCCGTACTCCCCCTCAGGACCCATGGGGTCATATTTCAGAATTTTTACGATATCTGCGCCATTTCTTGACCGATCCTTCTCATCTTCGAACTCGACCGACATATTGATGAGACGAACCTGCGGAAGAAAATTTCTAGTCAACTGCTCACATTTTTCGAGAGTTATCGGATAAACGGACGGACGGCCGGCCGGACGGACACACTGACCGATTTTAGTCGTGTACTCACTTTTTGAGTACACAAAAAAACATCAAATTGATATTATTGTGGATAGTGCAAGAACTCATACGGCCAAGGCTTATTCACTGCTAGACTTTAGAAAATCGGTAGGAGGTCATTGCGCTGTTGACTGTATCGAGTATCTTGATGAAGATGGTAATCCACAGATTATTGATTGCTATTTCAAAGATGGAGCAAACAAAGGTAAATCAAAGGGTTTAGTTGAAATATGCAAAGATTTAGGTATATAACTACCACCTAAAATTAAATTAGAAGAAATTCGAGAACTATTGTCAGGACATCCAGCATTTCAGAACGTAAGTAAAGCAGCTCTATTTCATTAAAAACACATCACGCTCTATATTCTTTTACTTCTCTTTATCTAGGCCACAAAATTCGAAACTCTTGCACTCAAATATAAAGTTAATGTTATATTTTGTCCAAAGCATCATTGTGAACTCAATGCAATTGAAAGCCTTTGGTGTAGTCAGAAAGTATTTGTTCGTTCACCTACCGACCAAACCTTCGAAAAAATGATAAAACTAATATCTGAATCTCGTGCAGATTTTGTCGAAAGGAGTATTGAACTAAAACTATTTCGTCGTTTTTGGCATGCAGTTGAAGCATATTCTCAAGGACAAACATATGGTGAGGTGTTTAAACTATTCTTTAGTCAATTGTGTAGTGCATCTGTTCAATCACATCGACGAATATTAAACGATATTATAAACGATGACTAACAGTTTTTTTTCTATTTGTACTCTATGTGTTTCTATTTATACTTGAAATAAAGTTTTTAAAACATCTAAATTTATGTTTAAAATATCCTCACATATTGTCTAAGATACAACGAGCAAACTTTAGAAAACCGATTTCCTATACCACTAGTAAAGTGAACTTTTCTCCACAAAGAAAAAAGATCAAATCAAAAGCGATGCGTAGTCTTTTGGAGGATGGTATGAGGATTAAAATTAAAAAAATATTGCCCACTCCTCCCACCTCTCTACAAAAGCTAGATAGATTTACAAGATCCACCTATTAGTACTGTAGTGAAAGCTATGAAAAATACCACTATTATAAAAACTTTTGGGTTAATACCAATTTCAGACGTTTTCTAGGATCAGTTTTTGATGCTGCATCTAGAAAAAAAAGTTTCAAGAACAGGAACACCGTGATTTTTGCATGTTAACCTCAAAAACCTGATTTTCGAGAAAGCTCAGGTTTCTGAGGGATTTTGCGATTTTTTTAGTATAAAACAGCTTGAAAATAGAATAAAAAGTAGCTCATCGTGATCAGGAGCTCACGCTCTATCGAACCATGTGCAAAAAAACAAAAATAAATTTCACTACATTTTTGCATTGCGTGCACCTTATAAACATTTCTTTAATATTTCAACAGATAGAGTTAAATATCGATTTTAGATTAAAGTCGACAAAGATGGTAGTAGTTCGATTTAATCCAATAAATATCATGCGGAGTTCCCCATGTTGTATAATTACTTGTTGTGTGATTTAATATTTGGCAATTATAAGTAGATACTGGAAAATAATCTCGTTGAATGAAAAAATCAATAATAAAATCTGCTCGATTTGTTATCCATTTAATATCGACCCATTCCATTAGAATGAAAGGAATATTAATTGAGTCAAATATTT